TGCGGCCGGCGTGTTCGCGCGCGCCGAGGTTGCGGGCTCGGCGGCATCCACGCGGAGCCCCGCCGGCGAGCTCTCGACGGCGGGCTCTCCGGACGCGGCCGCGACGTCGTGCGCGGGGGGCGCCGCCGGCGCGATGTTCAGCGAAGACAGCATGCCGATGATGCGCGCGTCAGGGGGCATGTCGAGCTGGCCCATTTTAAAATTCAACATTCTTTCAAATCCTCCATGGCCGAGCACGCGGAGCATGCGGAGCTCGCCGTGGCTCTCCGCGTAGTCCCAACTGTGCTCGAATACATACGCCACTTCGGCGCCGCCCTCGACGTAGGCAGCGCCGCGCTGCTCGCGGAAGTTGCCACCCACCAGCACAGGCCGCCAGTCCGGGCCGCAGAACGCCTGAAAGGCCCGCAGCATGAACTCACTCGCGCTCATCAGCATCGCGAAGAAATCTCGCGTCGCGGCCTGTCGACCGTCCCAGTCCTTCGCGTCGATGAACGCCGTGAACTCGGGAATCTTCAGCTCGAACGCCTCTCGGCGCCAAAGCACGTGGAGCGCGCCCATGTCGCTCGTGCCGTCCTCGCTCGCCTTGTTCCGCGCCATCGCCAGTAGCTCCGTCCGCTGCGTGCGCGCCCGAATATCTTCGATCGCGATAAGCGGCTGACCCTGAGCGAAGACGAGCGTGCGCTCGCCGTCGGGTTGAATAATCGTGGCCTCGCAAACGCGAAGCGCGCGAAGCACTTCGGCCTGGCGGTCTTCCGCGCGCGGGAACTCCTTGCCGCAGCCTTGGCAGACAAATTTCTTAATATGAGTCAAGGTGTCGCAGCGGGGACACTTTTTTTGGAATCTACCTCCACATTGCTTTGACGGCGCCATCGCGGCGAGCAGCACGAACCTGAGTGAAGCAACATTGTTGAACTCTGGTTGCACTCGAAAAAAAACATTAGAACAGGGATTTAACTCTGCGAATTTTGGGGGGTCACGCGCGGTAGCGGTCCTTCGGGGTTCTCGAGCGCGGCGCCTCCGCCTCCGGCGACTTCGGCTCGGCCCGCGGCTTGGGCTTGAAGAGCCCCGCGAGCAGCGAGAGCTCGGCCTTCTGCGCGTCGCCGCCGGCCGCGTCCGCCGCCTCCTTGGCCTCGCCCTCTCCGATTCCCAGCATCTCGAGCATCGAGACGCGCCCGGGCGCGACCGCGCCCGATTTCGCCTCTTGCGCGATGTCGTTCACCGTGTCGAGGGCCTGGGAGCACTTGTCCCGCGAGGCGCGCTCGCGCCGGAGCCGCTCCTCGACCGCGGCCTGTTTTCTCCGGAGCTCGGCGAACTTCTTCTCGTAGCGCTGCTTGATCATCTTCTTCGCGTACTTCTTCGCGAGATCCTGCTGCCTCGCGGTGGACGTCGTCGCGGGCTCCGGCTCCGCGGCGGGCGCGGGACGGTCCCGCGTCGTCGTCGTCGCGGGCTCCGGCTCCGCGGCGGGCGCGGGGCGGTCCCGCGTCGTCGTCGTCGCGGGCTCCGGCTCCGCGGCGGGCGCGGGGCGGTCCCGCGGCGTTTTCGTCGTCGAAGGCGACCAGGCCGCGGTCGGCGCGGGAAGGTCCCGAGGCGTCGTCGCGGGCTCGAAACGTAGCACGGGCGTCTCCTCGTAGAGCGGCGCGACCTTGACTGATTTGCTCGGGCTCGGCGGCGCCTCGTCGTCGGCCTCCGGTTCGACCTCGACCCAAAACGGATGTCGACGCGGGACGTCGTGCACGTGGCAGAACGCTCGCACCGCGTACCGGAAGGCGAGGCGGACGAGGAACGGCGACGCGAGGAGGAGCAGCATGAAGAGGACGAAGCTCGGCCAGTCGGGTTGAGAGCGCTTCGTCGCCGAGGCGCCGCAGGCGTCGCACTCCGCGGGCAGCGATGCGTTCGGCCAGCTAGCGTTTGCACATGCGGCGCTGTCGCAGGAGACGAGGGCAGTGGCGTTGAGAACCGCGGACTGCGCAGGGGCAGCGAGGCAGAGCACGGCCGTCAGCAGCAGCGTGGGACCGGCGCCCAGCCTCATTGGGCAGCGCTACCCATGTCCTTCCAAGGAAATGTTGAAGGGCAAGCCCAAACGTTGCCCCTCTAGAGCGTAAGTGCCGCGGCGCCGCGACCAGACCGGACCGGCTCGGCGCGGGCTGCGCCGAGGTCAGGCGTCGCCGAGCCTCAAGAAGTTGCTTACCTACGTGCTGCGCCTCTCGAAGGAGTGCAGGGGAGCGCGAGGCGGCCGGCGCGGCGCCGCGGATCCTGAGCGGGCCATTTCGTTATTTCATTCCGGCGGGGGTCAATGGCTGCCCAAACTTGCCATAAGCGGGCAGCCTTGCGCGAGTAGCTGTCATGCGCTGGCTCGCTCTGGCGTGCGCGTGCCGCGCCGCGTCGGACGAGCTCTTGATATCTTACGAGGGCAGCATCGACGCGAACCTCGGCGGCCTGGGCAACCGCCTGCTGGGCCTCATCTCGGCGAAGATGTTCGCGGACCTCGCGCGCGCGAGATTCGCCGTCGTCGACGAGCGCTTCACGGGACATGTTCCCTTCTCGGGCATGTTCGACTACCCGCCGGCGCTGCGGTGGAACGCGAGCCACGACGCCTACGATCTGACGTGCGGGTTGAACTTTGAGAACCACAGGTGCGGCCAGACTTTAGCGCATCTGAATAGTCGGCGGAGCGGTGAGGAGCTCATGGCGAAGCTCCACCCCGAGTCGTCGACGCTGCGCCTGCGGTTCCCGCAGTGCACCGTCTTCCGCGTCGTCTCGAATATGTACTTCGGCGCTTTGTACCGGCCAAACGCGACACGGCCGTCCTTCGGCGACGTCGTTTCGCATGTCGCGCGGCCGTCCGCGGCCGTCGCGGCGCGCGTGCGCGCGGCGACCACGGGCTGGGAGCCGGCGAACCACGCCGTGGCCGTGCACCTGCGGTCCTTCTTCAAGCCCGACCTCGACGCCGTCGCCGTCTGCCTCTGCCACGTCGTCGGCAAAACGAAATACGAGGCGACGCGGAATCAAAGCGACCCGCCTCCCGTGGTGAAGCAGGCCTGGCTCATCTCCGACAGTGCGCGGCTCCAGCGCGACCTTCGGGACCTGCTCACGGCGCGCTGCGGCCTCGACGCGAA